ACCACACACACACACACACCAAACACACCACACACACACCACACACACACACACACACACACACACACACACACACACACACACCAGGACCCAAGTGGAGAAGGGTGGTCCCTAGCATCTCAGTTATTGACTAGTTGTAGGGTCAGAAATCACTATCTGTTCTAAACTGATAATTAGAAGAGAGAATATTCCAGAGTTCTCGTAGCTAGCACTAACTCTCAGAAAGTCTTGTAATCAGGAATTCTTCTTTATGTCTAATTTGATTGACTCCCACGGGTCATTAATTGATGTCATGTGGCTTAGCTCTCCACTGAAGTTTCTATAATTTTCATTTAATTGGGCTGGTGGAGGCTGGGTTAGAATGTATTATTAATTCTGAGATCTGAGTGTTATAGTTAAATGACTTTCTGCCACCACTCAGGACTTCACTGAAAGAACAGAAAAGAAACAGCATGTCAAATGACTTGTGGAAAGTCTTCTTTTATCATTTTTTATGCGGAATAATTGTAAACAAACACAAAATTCACACCTAAGTTTGCTAACTATCCCTGTTATCAAAGAAGTCTGAGAAGTATCTGTGAAATATCTTTGTTTCCTAAGTGTCTGAGAGACTAACAAGAACAAGTAGTGGTATAATTCATGATCCATTCATGAATGTGGTGGCGTCCACCCCATTATACCAGTAGCTACCTCCTTTTAACACTTTCAGCCCCAGAGAGAAAGATAGAGGCGCATGCAGCATGAACTGCTTTATCACAGTGTGGTCTCACTCCTCACTAAACACACTCAAATCTCTCAGGGACAGACTGCTCTCTCTGTGGTAACATTAGTAACAAACCCTAAGGGAATTGAAGAAGCCACCCTTTACGTCATGTCCTAGTCATTCGCTGCCATAATGGAGTCCGAAGATTATGTTAAAACCCAAGAAGTTCTGGGGCTCCTCAGGAAACTCAGATGCCAAAGTCAACAGGATTTCTTCACGCTCCGCAAAATTCCCGGAGACTTTCAGTACAAACACACTGCAGACCCCTGGACTGGGATGTCCTGCCTTGGGTAATTTTATTGCAATATGAAATGTCTCCCTGCCAGAGTAGAATAGCCCACTGGATCTTCCATTCACTATCCCAATGAACGCAGTGTCATTTGAAATAGAAAGACTTCAAAGTAATTGCGACTTTAAAGGCAGCCATCTGTTCTCTGGCAGTTAAATTGAAGTAGAAATAAGATGATCACTTTTACTACTTTGTGCAGCAATGTTTCCGGGGTTCCGAGCCCCTTTTTACAGCTACTTTTGATCATATGGATCTTTTAAGCTCAACGTTTTACTGAAATAGTGTGAGAAAGCAATGTACTATATCTTTAAATATTAGAAAGTATGTTTTAAAGCAAAATGGAAAATGTATATTTATGGCATATATTCTACTTGGAAACATTTTTTTGATGAATGAATCAAAAAGAGAATAATCATCGGCCAGAGTGATACACGACTTTGCTTACAGTGTTGAAACTAGAATGATGGAGCCATCCTAAAAGACGAATTAGATTCCATCTAATTTCCATAGAACATCTAAAAGGAAGTTTTTAATGAAATTTCCAAAGTGTGTGTATGTGTGCATGTGCGCTGTGTCCCTGTGACCAAGGAGGCCGGACCTGCGCGTCAGATCCTCCTGAAGCTGGACTTACAGATGGTATTGAGACAACTGACCCGATGAGATCAAAACTCGTGTTCTCTGGAAGGGCAACACTGAGTTGCCACTCCAGCCCCCAAAGGCAAGGTTTTGAGAAAAGTTCCCAAATCTTAGAAAAGTCCCAAAATACAGTAGAGGAAAATGTGTGTGTGTGATTTGGTTTTAATGTTATTTAAAAGTTGCTTTGAATAAAAGCTAAAAATTGTTTCTAAGAAAAAGATCACTTAATTTTAATAATTAAACAACAACAACAACAAAAAAAAACAGAAGGAGGTGTGTATGAACCTAAACTGCAGGTGATTCTAATCAGCGGAAGGACGAAGGATGGCTCTAGCATGTTTGCTGCATGTCTCCTGAGCAAGTGCGCAGTTTACTCATGGGAGGAAAAGCCACCGCGGTGAGTAGCAAGCATCCTAGTCACTCTTTGTCTTTGCTCTGCAGTGACACCTCAGAGAGCTACCAAGACCCATTTCAGAGAATATTGATTGAGCACAAGCTATTAACCCATTAATGCTTGCTTTAGATTGTCTGCTGTAAAATCTAGGGATGTTTCCTTTGGGGGAAAGTTGAAACTATCAAACTCCAAACAATAGTTTATTCAAACAATCTGCCCTGGTGTCCAAGCTGTTTCCTGTCAAAAGCCTCCACCTTTCCCCTCCCCTTCATCACACGCGTGCACGCACAAATACAGGCATGCACAAACACACACGCACACAGACTCGCACGCACACATGCACGCGCGCACACACGCACGCATACACACAGTCTCACAAACACACACACGCACATGCACGCACAAACACACACACATGCACAAACACACACACACAAACACGTGCGTGAACGGTGATAAGAGTGGCAGCTGGAGAGATGGCTTAGCAGTTAAGAGCAATGGTCACTTTGTCAAAAGATCCAGGTTGATTTCAAGCACTCAGGTGGTGGCTTACACAAACACCAGGCATGCATACGCATGTGGTACACAGACATACATGAGGGCGAATCACCCATACATACAGAATAATAAGACACTTTAAAAAATAACAAAAATTGAGAAAAAATAATACAAATGATAAACAAGGACAACCACGGGACTTTGCCATCTAATGCAGACCGGCCTTGAATTTATGATCTTCAAACGCTGCGATCACAGGAGCGCTTGAAAGGAAGGGTTTCATCTCTCTCCCCAGTACTAAGGATTGAACCAGCGACCTCATACATACTATGTTAGCCCTCTATACAGAGCGATAGCCCCAGGCCAAAGGAGATACATGTATATCATATTAGATACATCATTTACTATTAGTCTGTGGGCATGGACGTGGGTGTGGATGTGCACTGGTACAGATAGGGAGGCAAAGGACAATGTCCAGGAGTTTGTTCTTCTCACTCTGGGGTTCAGGGCTTCTATGACATTGCCTGAGAAGGCATCTTGCTGGGTAGGTGATTTGTTTGTTTTCTTTTGATTCATTTTTATGGTATTGGAGATTAAACCCAGGACTTCACATATGCTAAGCAAGGGTGCGCTTACTGACCTAGATGCCAGCTTAAGGTTTACTTATTCTACCAAGTATGTCTCACATGATCAGCACATCACAAATCCACATGGTTCCTTCATGTACAGGATCACCGTGATCTCACTGACCCCAGCATCACCGTGTCCTCACTGACCCCAGCATCACCGTGTTCTCACTGACCCCAACATCACCATGACCCCAGCATCACTGTGCCCTCACTGACCCCAGCATCACCATCTTCCCACTGACTCCAGCATCAACGTGACCCAAGCATAACCATCTTCTCACTGACCCTAGCATCACCGTGACCCCAGCATCACCGTGTTCCCACTGACCCCAGCATCACCGTGACCCCAGCATCACTGTGACCCCAGCATCATCGTGTCCTCACTAACCCCAGCATCACCGTGACCCCAGCATCACTGTCTTCTCACTGACCTCAGCATCAACATGTCCTCACTGACCCCAGCATCACCGTCTTCTCACTGACCCCAGCATCACCGTGTTCTCACTGACCCCAGCATCACCATGTCCTCACTGACCCCAGCATCACCATGTTCTCACTGACCCCAGCATCACCATGTCCTCACTGACCCCAGCATCACCGTGTTCTCACTGACTCCAGCATCACTGTGTTCTCACTGACTCCAGCATCACTGTGGTCCTCACTGACTCCAGCATCACCATGTCCTCACTGACCTCAGCATCACCGTGTTCTCACTGACCCCAGCATCACCGTGTTCTCACTGACCCCAGCATCACCGTGTCCTCACTGACCCCAGCATCACCATGTCCTCACTGACCCCAGCATCACCGTGTTCTCACTGACTCCAGCATCACTGTGTTCTCACTGACTCCAGCATCACTGTGGTCCTCACTGACTCCAGCATCACCATGTCCTCACTGACCCCAGCATCACTGTGACCTCACTGACCTTAGCATTACCAGATCCTCATCGGCTCGTTTTGTTTTTTAACCCAGTATTTACTGAGCAGATATTGGGAGTGTATTTTTCTTCCATTATTCCTTCCTATTTTGGTGGTCTCCCCACTGAGAATGAGACACAGATCAAGGAATCCATATCTCTGAGTCTCAGAATGTAAACCTCGAGTTCTATTTCCAGTGAAAAGCACGAGCAGTTCTTTCCGGAACTCAGGACTTTTGTGTCACTGACACCCCCAAGCTGGTGCGTGTGTCTCAGTCTGGGCAGCTGTAGCTGCTGCGCTGCCTCCGCCTGCCACCAGCATCTGCTAGTCACATCATGTGGGCTTCAGGACAGTTTCCTTACAGACCTAGGGGATTTGACTGGAGAATTCAAACTAGGAGAGGGAAAGAAAGTGATGGGTATGCTTAGAGCAAAAATGTCTGACTTACCTGCAAAAAACATTGTACAAAAAAGTCATTACAAGAAACAATTTTTACATGGCCCAAACAAATAAAAGGCGTGATAAAAGAATCAACTACACTCTCCAAAATTACATCTTTGTTGTACTCAGAAATGTGAATATGTAATATGCAATTTTATGCCCAATAATTAAGACCTAAAAGCAAAAGTTATTTTCAATGTAAACACTATATAGGGACAAAATACCACCTGATTATATTTCTCAATAGTCAGTAGATCAAACAAAGATGTCATTGTCCCTGAGTTGAAATTATTGATCTCTTAAGGTACCTCCTTATTTTCTCTTTCAGATAGTCTTTATTTTATTACAAATATAAACCTCCAGTGAAGAAGAAAGCATTTAAGATAACCCCCACACAATCAGAACAAAATAAAGAAATAGAAAAAGCCAACCTTTATTCCACTTTGAACAAGTTTGTGAATGTCCAAGTAAGGCTCCTTGAAAAGCTCTCCTTCTGGGGTCAGGATCTTCACATAGCCTTCCTTCTCTAGAATGAAGAGGCGATGGGAGCCATCCCCACTGTGTACGGCGCCCACAGGCTGCCGCAGCCCACTCACGACCTCCTGCACGCAGAAGCAGTTGTGTTTGTGTTTTCTAAACAAATCAGAGAAGACCAGTCAGCTCTCCTGATGGAGGTGCAAACAGATGTGCACAATATACTTCCCCAAATGCATTCATTTCCTCAAAGAACCAATGGTTTTGAAAATGAGAAAGGGCTGCTAAGACAGGCATCCTATAATAGGATTATTTTGGTTAATTCGTATTATCTTTTCAATGGAAAATAGCAAGATATCCTTTTCTCAGAAAGTAAAAGTGAAAACCCCAACGGTTTATTCTGAAATGGCATTAGCTCATTATCTCATCTTTCAGTGACTGTAATTAAAATTTGCTTTTCCTCACAATAATGAGTTCTTATGAGAAGGCATTTAAGGAGAAAGTTCTAAGATCCATTTATATAGAGAAAAACTGATTTGCTAATAATAAACGTGCTGAATATTTCCATAGTGCGATAAAGCTAACAACAATCATAAAATCCAAGTCGAACACTGTACCCATAAAATTCCCATGAGTCAAGGAGAAGCCAAGCTCATAATATAGGATTAGGAGTCTGAGTATTAAGTGCATTTAAGCTGCGATGCTAGAGGAACAAAGCACTAAGAGGGAGAGGGAAGTTAATGTTGTGTGCAGTCTGTGGATCCTGGGTGTAAGCATCAAAATCATCTATTTGTTCATTTTTTCTCTAGGAGTAAAGAGCATTGAGACACACACACACACACACACACACACACACACACACACACACAGAGGGGGGGGGGTGGCCGTTGAAGTGTATGGACCTGCTGAGCTCCTCCACCTTCTCGTATTCCTCCATCTGGTCCAGGTAGTTAGATGCTGGCCCTCTGACTTGCTTTCTTGGGAAATCTGGAAAGCACAAGCCGCCATCTTTTCTTGAATAGTAAAAGCAAAACTCATCAGCAGTTGTTTGAAGAAGACCTTTAAACAGACACGGAGAAAGACTCATTAGAACCATAAAGTGTTCTAGCCAAACCAGCTCATTTGGGGATCTGGCCCTAAGAGGACTTTGAGAAAGTATGTGAATATTCACAGGAGAAAACCAGGCATGACACTGTGAAAGGGCACTGGGGAGGGGTTGGGGTTCCCTTTTCTCCTTTAAACACATTTAAGAATTCCAGTGAAGTGTAATCTCCTTATGCGGGGTAAGTTAAAAAGATTGACTTATCCATTCGTATGATGCGTATGTGTGTTCCCTCATGAGCTTACACGTGCCATGGGTGTGCAGGAGCCTGAGGCAGCCAGGGAATCCCCTGGAAATGGAGTTTATAGACAGGTGGGTGCTGCCAATGTAGGTGCTGGGAACTGAACCTAGAACCTCTGAAACGTCTTTCCAATGAGGGATCTTAACCAGTGAGCCTCTCTCCAGCCCCTGGGCTAACCACTTGAAAGGCTAATGAACGGCACGTTGTAAAAGCCGTGGTTACTCTCACTACACTTACTCTCCTCAAGCCGCCTCACTGATCACAGGAAATAGTTATGAGCTCACCCCATCCCATCACCAATTGGTCTAATTTTCCTACAGTCCTAAATACTTTCCGAAAGAGAACCCATGACAACTAGAAAAGCGATAGTCTGTTGTCTGCCAGCTGTCTTAACACAATGCACTGATGGATGTAACAAATACCCCCACATGAAATTAACGACGTGCTGTGCAGTCTTTAGCAAGGAATTGTTGCTAAGGGAAATCCTCTTATTCCAAATACTTTGAACCTTTTTACTGTACTTCTTTTTTTCTCTAAGGGACAATGATGAAATATATTTAAGTGATTTTTCTATCTCTTTAAGGAGAAAAACGGACACACCCCTGAACCAAAACAAAATCACATGGTGTACTGATCAGGTGACAAAATAAAGATAGTTCTTCTCTTTCGTGTTAAAATTGTTGGTGTATCTGTATGCTGTGTGTGTGCATGTGTGCAAATGTGAAGGTGAACATATGGATGTGTGGATGTGTGTGTGTTCATGCGCCTGTGTATGTGAACACAGCTATAAGTGTAGAGGTCAGAGTCAACATCTGTTTTGTTCCTCCTCCTTAGATTTTGAGACACAGTCTCTCATTGAATGTGAAGCTCACTGGTTCCATGACACTGAGCAGCCAGGGAGGCCCAAGGAGCCTCCTCTTTCAGTCTCCCCACCAAGAGGGTCATAGGCCCACTCCTTTATGCTCAGCTGTTTCCACGAGTTTTGGGGATTGAACTCGGTTGTTAGGTTTGTACTGCAAGCACTTCACTGACGGAGCCATTCCCCAAGCCCACAAAGATGTTTTTGAAAGTACACCTCTCCTTGAATGTAAAATTAAAAGCTTCAGACCTGAGGAAAACTATAGAAAAAAAATTGAAAACTGTAGTTTGAGGTAATAAGATACTGGCTTTATTGTACTTGTCAATAAGGTCTCTTCTGTATCCTGGAGACTTCTGCTTTCTGAGTATGTTTCCATCCGGATCTGGGCAGGGGAAATAACTGCTGGTGTACCTGTCCAGCAACTCAAAGTCCAGGCTTGATCACTGCAAACAAACAAGAAGCGAGCAGCACAAACCCCTGCTTGATCTGTGCTTCCCAGAGTCAAATTAGGTGAGAGCCTTTGTTTGCCTGGAGGAAGGATGCCTCTCACCTCCTATGTGCACCTTAGTGAAGTTTCGGTTTTTACATAACAAATTGGACTTTTCATGCCTACTAGTCTTGGGATAAAAGTATCAGGTAACTTAGTCGGAGTTTGAAAACTATTTAACAAATTCAGGTTTTGCAAGAATTTCTAAGAACAAGATTTGGAGCTCGGCCAAGCAAGGCTTATCGATGGAGTTTGCAAGACACTCAAAGCTCATTTCCAGGGAGCTTGACCTGGGTCAGCCCAAACCTCAAAACAAACCAGCCTTAGGGTATAAGAGTCCCACACCATAAAGCTTGGGATACATTTTGATCTCACTTTTGGGTAAAATGTATGACCCTTAAATTGCCAACAGAGACTTCAAGAGCAATTTCTGTCTAGTGTGTTGGGAAATATCTTAAGTTGGGGAAGAAGGCCAGAAAAAGTGAGTGCCCTCAGGAGTGTATGCTCTCAGGAATGTGTGCACACAGGGGTCCAGTGTGTACTGTGTGTGCCCTCAGGGGATGTGCAGACAAGGGCGCAGTGTGTTCTGTGCATGCTCTCAGGAGCACATGCACAGCACACAGGCGTGCAGGGTACTGTGTGTGACCTCAGGGGGTGTGCAGTGTGCACTGGGTGTGCCCTGGGGAGCATGTGCACACAGGAAAACGGATACTGTGTGTAGCTCCAGGGGGCTGTGCACGCAGGGCTCCATGGAGCTGTGTGTGTCCTCAGGGGTTGTGCACAGGGATGCAGGGTATGGGAAAGGAGGCATAGCAGTTCAAGGATCCTCTTCAGGAGAGGCAATGAGGAGGTGTCCTTCCTTTGAAGATCCACCGGCCTCAATCAGACACGGAAAGGAACACAGAGTTCACTCCTCGTTGGAAATTCACTACAAAAGATAACTGCTCTCTCCTCATTCTTCAATGGCAAAAAAGCACCCAGCTGAAAGCTAAAGTGCCAAAAACAAATCTATTTGAGCAAAAATAACAAAAGGAAAATTCAAGTTTGCTTTAAAAGCGATTGCGTATCTGCAAACTGGGACCATCTTGGAAGGGAATTAATGGAACCATGGCTGGTTTCACTTCTAAGAGCATTGTAAGCTGCAGATAAATAGCGGGACATGAGAACTCATTTTTGAATCAACTATATTAATTTTAAACTAGAATGCATCTTCTTAAACTTTGTGTATCCAGATGCACGGACTCTTGACCAAACACACACCTTTAGTTTCTAAGAAGTCACTGGAGAGACTCTTACTGAAGATGTGTGTTTAGCCCAGCGGGTCTACAAATGTAGAGTATCCTTGCAACTGCTGTATTTGTTAAACCCTTGGTTAAATAACACTTAAATAATTAAGTGTTCAGTTCTGTAGCCATTTTCCAGGATGGTGAATCCAGAGGCACTGCTGTCCCACAGAGAACCATGTAAAAATACTGACTCGGAAAATAAACACTGTCCAGAGTGTGTTGTATGTTCCAGCTTCATTTCTCATGATATATTCAAGAGAAGCGATAGTTTCCCTAGGTTCATCCATCATGATACCAAAGAGGGGAAAAACCCGAGTCCCTGGAAGGAAGGCTTTCAATATATCCATCTCGTCCCTCTAGCTTTCTCTCCCTGGGACTAATAAGACACATGTGTTAGGTATCTGATGGAATCAGGGCTGGAGAAACTCAATGGACTCAAACCCTTGACCTTGGCCTCATTAGCCACAGGATTAAACCAATTGAACTAATTGGGTGCAGACCTTTCACAACAACTGGAACCTACTGCTGGGACAGGACTGTCTTAAAGTGATAAAAATTATTATGCTAAACAGGTACAAAGTATAAAGCTATGCCGGTGGGTGTCTCTGTGTGCCTTTCTCAGAGTGTATTATACCAGATTTCCTGAATCAAAAGGATCTACTCTGCTCATTCAGACTAAGGAAAAGGCCCGTAAGGGTACGCAACTTGGCACTGGAGAAATTTTAGGCAATTATCTTTCTCAGAAAGTCCACAAGTGGAGAACACTTTGATTAACAGTCTAGAGTATATTCAATTTGACTACTTTTGAATCTCTTTCTAATAAGTAGAATCTGATCGTTTCTGAATTTAAATTTCTAGAAATGAACTCTCTTCCAGTTTCCAGGAATGCTCTAACATGTCATGTTTTCTTAAAGCCAAGGCAATGAAGTATTTTGTATCATGGTTTGAGCAGTATAGGAGAAGGAAAGGAATCTCTGAAATTGCTTTCTTATGATCCAACTCAGAATTCTCCTTCTTTTTACAAAACACATTCCCTGGGCTCCTCCTCTCCAGGGTTTTGGTCTGTAGAGAGAAGAGAGCACTGGTAGGAACAGCTGAGCAGCCTTGACCACACTTCCTATGAAATGGAATCTCCAAGTAGCTGTTTCCCATAGGTTTGCATTTCTGAGAAGGGTAAAGCATAAAACAGACTTAAGGTGACATGATTACCCAATTGTTCTTGCAACCATTTCTAAAGCCCCGGTGCTCTAGAAGAACAGACACACTGCTGGGCTTCCGGCAAGGTTGATGGGTGGGTTCCGGCTTTGCCCGTTACAGTTTAGGAAAAGGTGGCCTCCCTCCCAGGGCTCTAGCTGCCTACTAAATCAATGAGCATAAATGCTCCAAAAAGTGGGCTATTACAGCTCACTTCAGACACAAATATTTAAAATGATTATCAGCATGTGACCTAGGAAGGGCGGTCCCTTCGGTTTGTTGCGAAAGTCTCTCTGGGTCTTTAGACAGCATCCTGATTGCCCTTTCTACCTCAGGAGTGCAGCTTTCATGTGGTTATCTTTCCAGGCAGCCTGGGTGGCCACAAAGAGCACTTGACATCTTGATGCACTTCAGCAGTTTTACACATACACAAACTTTGTAGAAAAATAAATTTGTCATTCGTCACCACATATGCTGATCTGGGAAGTGATGCGCTTGCAGTTCGGGCTCTGAGCTGTTTGCTGGCCTCATTCAGTTGATCTTGTAGACCTGTTTTGTTCTTTTGGATGCTAAATAACTTTGCATATATAAAGGCCACCGTGGAAGAGTCTGTGAGCACAGCATGTTGTATTTGCTGCGAAGTGATAAAGGAAATGAAGAGGCCAAGTGCTGGGATCACTCGTAACTAAGGTTGTGAAGGCAGAGGTCTACGCTAGCCCCCACCCCAAGCTCTCCAATCTGTTATTGGTCTCTGTGGGCCACTGAGGCTACTGGGAGCTGCTCCACTTTGCATTGAGGAATGTGATAAAGGGGGGAAAACAGCTAGTTTAAGAAAAGTCAGAAACACAGCTACAGTTTATAAAAACAATAATATTTCCACATCCATTCCGTCTAGGTACGTGTCATGCTGTATGCAGAGGGATCAAGCAGACCTAAAGTGTTTATTATTTATAAGGAAGTTTTATTTTTTTTTCTATATTTTTGTGGGCCAAAAAATTTTGAGATGTATACAGCACTTTCAAAGAATTATCTGAGTCACATCCTACTGTACTTAAAGCTTATCTCTTTCTTAAATACTATTTAGTTTTATAAATGGTTCACTGCAGTGATTGGTGTGTGACTTGGACTAGCTAAAATAATCTGTCTTGTTAAATTATGTTCTTCCTCCATGATTACAACTACACAATTTATAAATGTGTGTGTGTGTGTGTCTGTCTGTCTGTCTGTGTGTAGGGTGCATGTGTGGTATCTGTTCATGTGCAGGGTGTGTGTGTTTGTTGGTATGTAGTGTATGTGTGTGTTTGTTTGTGTGTAGGGTGTGTGTCTGTTGGAGTGTAGGGTGCATGTGTGTGTGTTCACGTGTAGGGTATTTGTATGTGTGTCTGTCTGTGGGTAGGGTATGTGTGTGTGTTTGTTGGTATGTAGGGTATGTGTATGTATATTCATTCGTAGGTATGTGTGTGTGTCTGTTGGTGTGTAGGGTATGTGTGCGTGTCTGTTGGTGTGTAGGCTATGTGTGTGTGTCTGTTGGTGTGTATGGTATGTGTATGGGTGTTTGTGTCTGTTGGTGTGTATGGTATGTGTATGTGTCTGTTGGTATGTAGGGTATGTGTGTGTTTGTTTATGTGTAGGGTGTGTGTGTCTGTTGGTGTGTATGGGTGTGTGTGTCTGTTGGTGTGTGTGGTGTGTGTGTGTCTGTTGGTGTGTAGGCTATGTGTGTGTGTCTGTTGGTGTGTAGGCCATGTGTGTGTTTGTTTATGTGTAGGGTGTGTGTGTCTGTTGGTGTGTATGGGTGTGTGTGTCTGTTGGTGTGTGTGGTGTGTGTGTGTCTGTTGGTGTGTATGGTATGTGTATGGGTGTGTGTGTCTGTTGGTGTGTATGGTATGTGTGTCTGTTGGTATGTAGGGTATGTGTGTGTTTGTTCATGTGTGGGGTGTGTGTGTTTGTTGGTGTGTATGGTATGTGTATGGGTGTGTGTGGTATGTGTGTGTGTCTGTTGGTGTATATGATATGTGTATGTGTCTGTTGGTATGTAGGGCATGTGTGTGTGTTTGTTTGTGTGTAGGGTATGTGTATGGGTGTGTGTGTCTGTTGGTGTATAGGGTATGTGTGTGTGTGTACTCATAAATGTAACGGCCAGAGACTGACACAGGTTATCTTCCTCAGTCACTCTCAGCTGTGCTGAATCAAACTGAATCTGAAGCAAACTCCTGGGATTGGCCTGTCTCTACGATCCCTGCCCTGGGTTAAACGAGTGAATGTCTATGTGGGTCTTTTTTTCCCCCCTCACATGGGTGTTGAGGATTTGAACTCAGGTCTTTATGATGGTGTGGCAGGTAGTTTACAACTGAGCTTCCCTTCCCCAGGTTACAAACTTCTGATGATGCCCATGTTGGGATCTATCTCTTTATTAGAGTCTGAAATGTGATGGTGACCAGGTATCTTTCTATCACCTCGTGCAGAAGAGTTTCTACAGTCATTCTGTCACCTTCTCTTTATACAGCTTGGCTAAAGCGGGAGAGTTCTTCCGGGGCTCAGTTTTTCTCCTCTGTCCAGAAAACACCATTTTATCGTGTTTCTAAGGTGTCAATTAGTCATTTGATGTGAAAAAACTTGGTTCGATGTTATTTGGGGCATTCTTAGTCACAGTTTATCTAACGATATATCTTTTTTTTAAGTTTATTTATTTATTAAAGATTTCTGTCTCTTCCCTGCCACCGCCTCCCATTTCCCTCCCCCTCCCCCAATCAAGTCCCCCTCCCTCGTCAGCCCAAAGAACAATCAGGGTTCACTGCCCTGTGGGAAATCCAAGGACCACCCACCTCCATCCAGGTCTAGTAAGGTGAGCATCCAAACTGCCTAGGCTCCCATAAAGCCAGTACGTGCAGAAGGATAAAAAACCCATTGCCATTGTTCTTGAGTTCTCAGTAGTCCTCATTGTCTGCTATGTTCAGCGAGTCCGATTTTATCCCAGGCTTTTTCAGATCCAGGCCAGTTGGCCTTGGTGAGTTCCCGATAGAACATCCCCATTGTCTCATTGTGTGGGTGCACCCCTCGCGATCATACAACAAAAGTATATGCTCTACTATGTTCATAGCAGCATTGTTTGTAATAGCCAGAATCTAACGATATATCTTAAAGCCAGTGGGCACCCTCTTATCCCATATTTGCTGTGTATTGGAAGCAGTGGCCTTGTTAGCTAAAAAAGGTTCCAACAAGAAATATCTGTTGGTGCTGGGGTATAATTCAGAGGGAGAAAAAGAAAAGGAGGTTTTACTGATAATAACTCAGCATGTATAAAGTTATACTGATAATCCAATGTGCAAAAAACTTACCATTTGTATTAGTATTTATAAAAAAAAGATATTAACTTAGAATGAAGTTAGTGTACTGTTTTTCATCTGAAATTGTAATACTCTCTTTCACAGTAATAAAACATAAGACTTTAGAAAAGTCCACTATTAAGTAAAATAGGAACGTGAAGCACAGCTTACAACTCCTGTAAACAAGCCTTAAAGAGGAGTTATCTTATAAGGCTTGGCAATGTTTGAACTTATGTATTTTTCCTTTTACCTGGAATATGGCCCCGACAAGTATAAAAGAATTCTTTGCAATAGTCTTTGCAGAGGAGCGGAAGTACTAGATCTCCATCCAGGACGTCTCTCTCGGGTGAGGAAAACAGGCTTTGAGAGTGTGGGGAGCAAGGAGCGCATTTGATCTCCTCCAGTAATTTGCCACATTCTGTGTTGTTGGTGGCAGAAAAGATCTGAAAGCCACAAATCAGAAACACATCTTGTTAGTCATGAGAAAAATGAGCTTTGTTGGGTTTTCTTAGCCCCCACCCCTTTGATCATGTAAGTAGAAAAGTCTAATTCAGGGAAGAAAAAAAAAAAAAAGAATGACTACGTCACAATATAGAGTTTTTAAAAAGAACACATGTTATCTTTGAGGCCAGGGTGGAAAGACAAAGGTCAGGAGGAAACACACGGAAGCACTTCTTGCCTTTGCAGATCCAAGTGTATGATTCTGTCCTTGTGCTGTTAAAATTGAGATGTTTATGGACTGTTGAATGTTTGATTCATTTATTCTACCCAAGAGCATATATTGAAACATATTTACCTTGAAAATTCTACACCGTTATCCAACTGTGTCCAACGTGTAATTTAAAGACATGGCTTATTTTGTGCGATGGGTAAAAAAAATCCATTTAATTCCTAAAGCCTCTAACAGGCTTTCAAACTGTACTTAAATAGCATTTTGGTAAATTTCTGCTTGTTCTCAATCTGCAATCGGTACCACGCAAGTTCCTACAGTTGCATGTTCTATAAAAATATTCCAAACTGAACCAAATGGGCTTAACACCCATTTTTAATATTCATTATATCTTAGCCAGGAAAAACTTTCTAGCTAGTTCCTTAGACATTTTCTAAGGAACACAGGGTTAATGAAAGTGCTTTTATATAGTAGGTAGTGAATTTTCATGAAAAAGAAGACTTTTATTACTATTCTTACAATGATATGTCCTTTATTTCAGTAAGATTAATTCTGGAGGATTGATGATTCCTTCAAGTTAATAAGTTGTAGGTAGACTAGATCTTAGCATCAGTATTCACTTAGAAAGCTGACTTGAGGAACCCTTCAATAAATATAGAGGACAATATCAGCCTAATATCTGGGAAATAAAATTAATGCTATCTAAATCAATCACTGATCTCTCTCCCAACCACACTATAAAATGCCATAAATGAATTTTATACTGTTTCAGCTAGGCATCTGCTTGAATATTTCTCTGAAACAATGTATTAAAATTAAAAGTTTGAAATTTTAGAAAATTGTTTAGTTCTATAAAACAAGTATTTCTTTTATAAGTCGAGCTGATTTGAGTAAAGAATCTAGCCTCTGTTTTTCTGGATTATGATATCACAGGGTCATAAAAGCCCTAGATCAAAAGGACAAGGTAACCTAAAAACAAATTGCATGGAGGTATTCAACAGTCTAAAGAGGCTGCTCAAGTTCAGAAAAAAAAGATGTGTATTATAACTACTTAGAGTATTCAAAAGTTATTAATCATGGTTGCATTTACATTTTAATTTTTATCAGTGTGTTTAAGTGACAATTGCTTAAATGGTCCAAGTTTTGTAAAAGAAAACATCCACCAGATACTTAGGGTTTGCATTCCAAGAATGTTTTCAATGTCTTTTATTGTCCAGCCTGGAATCCTCACCAGATCTATTCAATATGAATAGTGCTCCGCTTGGCTCTGTTTATTTCACATACAGCAGTCCTCCAAGACCTAAACAACTGCGGGGACCCGAAGCCAACTCCTGCTGCCTGAAAACTAGGCTGCAATTACCTTTGCTTTTGTGGAGACTATTCGTGCTTCAAGTTTTTTGTTTTTCTTTCTTTCTTTTTTTTAAATAGTTGACACAGAATGGTCCCATGTTCTCTCCCAGCTGTTCTTCGGGAAGAGCTTGCTCTTAGTGCCTAAAGAATTCTGTCTTTTACAAATTTTGGAATGTGTCCTGCCCACAAGATTCCTCATCAAAAGTTTCACAAATAGGATTCAATAAATTATCTGAAATCAAGTAGAATAGTATTCTTGTTAAGGTTTGCCGCTGTTCCGGCCCAGCAGGATGGTAACATTTTACTCTGTGTGAGGTCTGCAATATAAACACCTATTTGAAGATAGATAGAGCCATCATTCTGGCTTTGGTTTCAATGAACCAATAGTCTTGCTCAAGTCAATTAAACTGACTCAGCCCAAGCAACAGCGTTGGTTTAGGCAGATGAGTTCTGGTGTGTGTGTTGGGTGGGTTGGGGGGGTGGTACCCCTGTCTTTTCTTTCTTTCTCCCCTCCCACACGTGTATGCCAAGCACACAGGTTCTTAACTTAATACCTCACATTGCCATGAATCTTAAGAAGAAATTTAAGTTAATTTCCTGTTTCAATTTTTAAAAGCCAAATACAAAGTCATCAAGTTCTAGTGGTTTAGCTAAATATACTTTGGAAATCGTGTAAAACTTGCAAACATGATTACAGCCAGCCCAGGAAGGACCGAAGCTGTGGCTAGGACTCGTCTGTAATGTTTGGCAGCTTGTCCTTTAATCTTCAGCCACGAGAAAGTAAAATCTGTGGAAGAAAGGTAAGTGCTGGGACAGAAGAAAGCCCACAGCTACAGCGCATCAACAGAGAAATCAGCGCAAACAAAGAGGGTAAAGAGGCACCCACATGGGTTTCATGAAGGGATAAAAGTAGAAAATACAAGGCAGTATATTCAGATGCTGCCTTAAGATCACTTGGTCCACAGAAAAGCTATCTCTAAAACATCCCATGCCTCCAAGACTGTTCAGCTGTAGGGCAGAACACACGCGCCTCTGGACTCTAGTGCTGGATTATGTCATTAAAGAGTTCAGTTTCAATTTTAGGCCAATATGTAAATAGATCATTGTATGAAGGCAGCTGTTAAAGGGACCCCAGGATGAGTTATTTGTTTAGTTGGATGTGTTCAACAATAGCCTTTGTCCTGGCGAGAGCCTGAGCAAACAAATGATTGTAAAAGGCACTCTTGAAAACAGTTACTCTTCACCCATTCCTTGACAGCTTTGGCTGTGAAACCACCAAGGCAGGGGGGGGGGGAGAGAGAGAGAGAGAGAGAGAGAGAGAGAGAGAGAGAGAGAGAGAGAGAGGAGGGAGAGGGAGAGGGAGAGGGAGAGGGAGAGGGAGAGAGAGAGAGACTCTGCAAGTTAAGTTTTAGAAATGGGGTATTTTGGTGGGCTGTAGACTCAGCTTGGCTAATGAGAAATAGATACTTTTAGCATGCTATATTTAGAATCTGCAGCAAAATTTCTAAGACAACATAACCTACTAAATGTTGGCATCACTCATGTCTCATCATAGTTAATAATCTCATTACATTTCTTAACATTATTAAAACCTACAGGAAACTCAAACATAAGAGCCTAGTATGGCGCCTAAGGAATTGAACTTAATTTTAGCTCACCAAAGAAAGTCTGTTAGCCTACCAACTGGATTTAACTGCTTAGCTGAGCATGCTCAGTCTTCTCACCTTTTTCTTACAATTTGTCTTTGAAATTTCTTCTCTGATGAAAAGCTACTGTAGTACTTTTCCTGAAAAGTTGCAGAAATGCAAATATCTTTTCTGGATTTTTTTGTAAACAACAACAACAACAAACAGCAACAAATGACTCAGCTGGTGTGTGCCATCATCCCTCTTGCACACACATTTATGAAATGAACCCTAACAGATGTTATAATCTAGGAAGACTTATGGGGTAAAGGGAAACACTTGTATTTAAACTGTGAAAGTTTGAGAACACAGGTCAAGAACCCATGGGCATGAGTGTAGTGAGTCTCTTGCCTTGGGTACCTGGGGTACTGTTTGCTCGTGAGTCACTCGCAATAGAGGGGCAGAGCTTACAGAATCCAACCTGATACAGACACATTTTCCAAAGGAACTGTAATTTGCAGGAGACTGGAAAAGCTTAGACAAGTATATGCACAGCTAACATAGCAGACCTTTCCTAAAGAATTGTTTTTTTTAAAATTGTAGCTTCTCTGAAGGATTATTAACTCTCCTGTCTGCCCCTTTGTCCCTTCTCTCCACTATAGTAAGAGCAAAGTTTGCATTCCACGTTTCTGGAAGAGGTCAGTAGTCTCGGGATCCTCGTTATAATCACAGCATACACTACACACAGGAACACTCCATGGTGAGTAAATATTTCTACACCTTTCTCCGAGCTTCCCCTTGGGGGTGGGGGTGGGGACTCCTGGTGAAGTCTTTAAGATGCTCTGACTGAGCTGTTTCTGTAGCTTCATTCAATTGGGAGGCTGGGGCTTAATGACATTGTTGCGGATAAAATGCTGGCGTGTCTCTTCCCCGCATCTCAGGCCACCGCTGCATATGGTAAGAATAAAGAGCGGGCTGCAGCTGAAACCTGCAGCAAGACAGCTCCCACTCATCTGGGAATAGAGCGAGTTAGACAAACGCTCCCTCAAAAGGCATGAACATTTGGACAGAGCTGAGGACTGAAAGAGAATGATGTTCTCTAGTTTCACCCATTAGTGAACCAACTAACAAATACAATGGTGGTGTTGTTAGTCTTTGGCCATAAGCAACAGGACGCTGTGTGTGGGCAGCAGTTTAGTGGGGAGGAGGATAAGTCGACCCCTTTTTGTCCTATTGATTTTTTCCCTATTTGCATGACTTGAGCAAATTAAATGATGCAATATGGCTTTTTGTTACAAAACAAAGTGAGAGGTACCACCCAGACACATATGTTGATTCGCAGGAGCTGTTTACATGATAATAGGGTGAAATCTACCGTGAACTGAGCATAAAAATTAGATTCAGCCTGGGCATTTTTTTTTTTTAATGCCTGAGCCAGCAAGAGTGGACCACAAGTTTTCCGAGTCTCTCAGACCTTGACAACTGCAGGGTTGTAACAGAGGAATTCTTAATTAAAGTTAAAATGGGCAAAGACAGGGGGAGCAGAGACACCTGATTGTCTATCCCCCGTGAAGTGATTGCTAATGACAGGATCCCACAGAGGGCACACAGCCATTCCCTGTAAAAAAAAAATCTTATGCAGAATCAAGACCAACGACATTTCGCACTGGGCAGACACTTCTTGGCTAAACTAATCAACTCACGGGAAGTGCATATGTCATCACTCATAAAAATAAGTTTCTAGACAAGATCCTTCTAGACAACGCTGTACCGGCGAAAACCTGGATTTCTAATGCTACAAGATGGAGAAACCACTGAGCAGAAGGCTCCAGCAAAATCTCCGAGTTCTTAACGCACCAGGAGTTCCCTTCCGCTGGTTTAACCATTGTCATTCAAGCTAGACTCTTCAGCAGCCTGGGCTTGGGATCATAAACCAACAGTACCTCGATAACCTTTAGAATCCAAGCCGCTCTAGCACGTGGAGAAAACAGAACAAATCTTTTCTACCCCAGAAAAATAAACCGGAAACCACAGCTACCCTAATTTACAGTTCCACCTCACCAAGAGCTCGATTTGATCCAAACTATACTGTTAATCCCGATTTTTTTAAAAAAAAATATTTACCCAGTCCAGGACGCGGCTACCTCAGAAACGTCTCTCTTGAGATAGGCAAGTTTGACCAACATCCCCACAACAGACTCCAGGGGAGGGAGAGTTATCTGCACACCTCCCAGGAACACACACCGAGAACACCTAACCATCTTAGAAAAGTTATAAGAGCTATCGAAATGAGTTTAGCCTCTTGCGCTTGCAGCTACCAGCATCTCAGCGAGCCACCTCTGCGAGCGCCTACCTTGTTCTCCAGACGTCCCAATGCAGTACTGTCACTCTGCAGGCAGCAGGATACTCTGGGGTAGAAGCCACCACACAGGATCTCTCCTCCACTCAGCAGCTCCAGCTGGGTCATCATCCGCCTGTCTCTCCTTTTCAGGCGCTTCGGGGGGTTCCCATTCAGGCACCTTCTCCTCCTCGCTCCACTCCCTTCGCTCCTTTCCCCAAACTTGGCATCTCCTTCAAAAAAGCCCAGAGCCACGGCCAGCAGTAGCAGCTTAAACGAGAGCATCTTCAGCATCGTCTACCCGGAGCAGCAGTGGCAGGACGCGGGAGGATGGGGAGGCGAGGGGGGAAGGCCACTGCCCAGCAAGGGCACTAGGGCGCAGCTCCAGGGGAGTGCTGCGGGGCGGCGGGACGCTCCAGAGGCCGAGGGAGGTGGCGGGGGAGAAAGATGCAGAGCGCTGCAACTTTGCCCTAGGGCAGCCTGAGCAGCGAGATAAAGTGCAGATGACACTGTCCACAGCCTTGCCAGCGTCAGTTGGGTTAGGGGCTTTCCGCAGCGGCTGGGAAGTGGGAGGAGAAGGAGTTGGAAGAGGAGGAGGAAGGAGAGAAGAAGACAGTCATGGAACTTCGCTTGTCCGCTCAATGGGAGTTGTTTAGGTGAGACAGTAGCAGGAACCGAAAGGGCGGCGGCGGCGGCGGGCCGGGCGGAGGCAGGGCCAGCGCTGGGCTCCCGAGGATGCTGAGGTCTCCTCTGTCGGCGGCTGCTGCTTCTCACACAGCCTCTCATGTTTCGCTCCCTCTTTTCTTCTTCTTTTTAACTAGCGCGCGGGGAGGTGCTGCCACCGCGCGCCCCTTGACGTCACCACCGCTAGCGCGCCCCCGCGCGGGGTGGGGGAGAGAGGAGGGGGCAGCCGGCCCGGGAGCTAGCGCTTGCTGGGACCCAGGGTGGCCTCGGGCTGCGACGGGGCGGGGACCGGAGGGGGGGGCAGGAGGCAGGACAGGGGACGGGCGAGGGGGGCGGGGAGCCCTCAGAGCCAGCCTCCGGGCTTCGGAACCCAGAGCGCCACCGTGCCGGGGTGGGGGTGGCCCAGTCGCGCTGCCCAGCCTGGGCCGAAAGTGCCTGGGGGCGTCGCTGCCGCTCAGGGCTACCGGGCTGAGGCTCCCGGACCCTGTGAGTAAGAAGTGACCACGCAAGGTGAGAAGGGAGGGATCTTTCCCCGGCTTCGCCCACGCTAGCCTGGATTTGGTTACCTAGCCCAGGAAGAGATGGACTCCGTGGGCTGGAGACGGTTGCTGGGAGCTTGTCGGCGCCTTTCCTTCTGCTGCAGGCATGACAGTCGCAGCTGGTCCCCAATGATCCCTGAGATTTGGAAACAAGAGAGGAACCCAGATGTTGTAGGTTTTTGTATAGGTTGAGGACCCACGGGTCCTTATTGAAGTTCCTGGAGCTACTATACTAGTAGGGTTCGGTATCCCAGAGCAAGCTACAACTGAGTCCTTCTCCAAGCGGACTTAGGTAGGACAACCTTGAGGGGCCACCTGTAACCCCAGACTAAGTCGCCTGGGAGACACCTGTAGCTTCGTGTGCATTTATAAAGTACATGCGTGCGTATACACACACACACACACACACACACACACACACGTGCACAAACTTTCTGGTGTGTAAATACAGAGGAGGAAGAGTTTAGTCTTTGAAGCAAAGTGCAGAAGCACAAACCTACATAGCTCCGTGTACGAATAAAATCACCTTTCCCCTAAGAGGACAAGTTCTGCCTAGAGTGATGTTGACATTAGCAAGAGCTGTGATTTCATGTTTACTGGAGGCTCGCAAGTTGTCACTGGGATAAGCCTCCCAGGAGCCACACACGAAATGTGCTTTTTGTCTATTTGGTTACTAAACAGGGAAGCTGATTTCCTGGTGGATGACTTTTGATGAGGAGATAAGGCTGTTTTTCCCATTTTGGCAATAGGGGAATGTTCACCATATTTGGACACATATTTCGCCAGCTCCCGTGAAAGTTGGTGGTGGTTGAGGCTGGTAACTGACTCCTTAGGAAGTGGTATCAGTGGCTAGGTGAGCCTTGCTCCTTTCAACCCCCGAATTCTTAATTACAATTTATATGTGAAGTTAGAGTTTCTAAGCAACACAAATGACCTGTTAGAATAAACCTAGAGTCTACTGAGACATTTGGCCTACCCCTCAGCTAAAGCAAATGCCCTGGAGCCAAACTTAACCCCTTTTCCAGACACTGTCATGCACCACTGTATACATGGGCACCATCGTCATGCACCACTGTATACATGGGCACTGTCATGCACCACTGTATACATGGGCACCATCGTCATGCACCACTGTGTACATGGGCACTGTCATGCACCACTGTGTACAGGGGCACCATCGTCATGCACCACTGTGTACAGGGGCACCATCGTCATGCACCACTGTGTACAGGGGCACCATCGTCATGCACCACTGTGTACAGGGGCACCATCGTCATGCACCACTGTGTACAGGGGCACCATCGTCATGCACCACTGTGTACAGGGGCACCATCGTCATGCACCACTGTGTACAGGGGCACCATCGTCATGCACCACTGTGTACATGGGCACCATCGTCATGCACCACTGTATACATGGGCACCATCGTCATGCACCACTGTGTACAGGGGCACCATCGTCATGCACCACTGTATACATGGACACTGTCATGCACCACTGTGTACAGGGGCACCATCGTCATGCGCCACTGTATACATGGGCACTGTCATGCACCACTATGTACATGGGCACCATCGTCATGCACCACTGTGTACAGGGGCACCATCGTCATGCACCACTGTATACATGGACATCATCGTCAAGCACCACTGTGTACAGGGGCACTGTCATGCACCACTGTATACATGGACACTGTCAAGGACCACTGTGTACATGGGCACTGTCATGCACCACTGTATACATGGACACTGTCATGCACCACTGAATACATGACTGTCATGCACCACTGTATACATGGACACTGTCAAGCACCACTGTATACATGGGCACTGTCATGCACCACTGTATACATGGACACTGTCAAGCATCACTGTATACATGGGCACTGTCATGCACCACTGTATGCATGGACACTGTCATGCACCACTGTATGCATGGACACTGTCAAGCACCACTGTATACATGGACACTGTCATGCACCACTGTATACATGGGCACTGTCATGCACCACTGTGTACATGGACACTGTCAAGCACCACTGTGTACATGGACACTGTCATGCACCACTGTATACATGGACACTGTCATGCACCACTGTATACATGGACACTGTCAAGCATCACTGTATACATGGGCACTGTCATGCACCACTGTATGCATGGACACTGTCATGTACCACTGTATGCATGGACACTGTCAAGCACCACTGTATACATGGACACTGTCATGCACCACTGTATACATGGGCACTGTCATGCACCACTGTGTACATGGACACTGTCAAGCACCACTGTGTACATGGACACTGTCATGCACCACTGTATACATGGACACTGTCAAGCATCACTGTATACATGGGCACTGTCATGCACCACTGTATACATGGACACTGTCAAGCACCACTGTGTACAAGGGCACTGTCATGCATCACTGTATACATCGACACTGTCAAGCACCACTGTATACATGGGCACTGTCATGCACCACTGTATACATGGGCACTGTCAAGCACCACTGTATACATGGGCACTGTCATACACTATTGTATACCTGGGCACCATCGTCATGCACCACTGTGTACATGGGCACTGTCAAGCAACGATGGTGTACATATTATTATAGTGAACATACCCTAAGTTCCCACATGGTTTATCTAACATTCTTCCTGCTTAGAAATCATTGATGATAAACTAAATCCCACTAAGGATTTTAAGCTCTCCCACTAGTAGTTCCTGAGATGAGTTCTATCATGATCAAGCCACTGGCATAATTCCATATGATCTGGATCCCAGAACCTTGTCTAGAATGTGTTTAGGGATTTATTCCTAAATTTTAGTTTAATGTCTTTCTCTAAAATGAAGATCCTTCTAAAAACATATCTCAGTGATTGGCACGCCCACTCTGAAACGATAAACTGATGTAAGTAGTGTCAGGCAGGCCTTCCTGTGCAGTGCACTCCCAGGGTAAGGGCACCTAAAGTGAATTAATACTGGGTTTTACAAAATGATGCTTCTGTTATAGGCTATGATCCTAAATGTCAAAATGCTGATCACTTATAAATGATCAAAAGGAGACAGGCATTTTTCCTTCTTTTCCTTTTGGGACAAAGTGTCATGTATTTCAGGATGGTTGTATACTTTAAGGATAACAGTGACTACGGATCCTTCTGCATCCACATCCTTAATGTTGGGATTACAAACGAAGACCATCATGCCTGCCTGAGGCAGTGCTCAGAGTACAATCTCAGGGCTTCCAGAGGCTCAGGATAGAACCAAACACAGACGTGGCCAAAATAAAAACAAAAACAACAAAGCAACACACAATGAAGTGATTCCTAATGAAGTTCTGCTATTCTCATAGATTGAGGCCTCAGCTGTCATCAGACAGGCCACCTTTCACATATGATGGGAGCAGATACCGAGGCCAACACCAAACTTTAGGCAGAGATCTTAGTTGGGTCCCTGCTTTCGGAGTTCAGGAAACCTTGCAGAAGAGAGGAGGAATTGTAGGAGCCAGAGGGGAGAGCAAGACTTTTGGAATCAACTGAACAGTGCTCATGGGGACTCGCAGACACTGAGGCAGCAACTGCAAAGCCCACATGGGTCTACACTAGGTCCTCTATGGTTGTCAGTTTGGTGTTTTGGGGAAATGACAGTGGAAGTGGGGGTGTCTCTGACTCCTTTGCCTGCTCTTGGGACCCTTTTCCTCCTAATGGATGGTCTTGCCCAGCCTTGATATGAGGGTTTGTGCCTGGTCTAGTTGTATCTTGCTGTGCCCTGTTGAGTTGATGTCCCTGAGAGACCTGCTCTTTTCTGGGAGGAGATGGGCCATGGGAGCGAATCTGGAAGAGATGGGGGGGGGGGGGGGGAACCGGAAGGAGTAGAGGGAGGGGAAGCTGTGGTCAGGATGTATTGTATGAGAGGAAATCATTTTTAAAAATTGCAGGGCTTCATACATGCAAACACTCTATAACTGAGCTCCATTCCTTCCCTTGTTCCGTGCTGACACATGCACCTGGAACTGACCCATGAGCAATTCATCACGAAAGGCAAGTAATCAGGTTCCTTATAGGACACTGAGCTTATTCCTTGTGTCACTGATACAATTTCTTTCTTTTTTGGTGGTGGTGAGGATGGTTTTAGTTTAGTTTTGTTGTTGTTTTCAAGACAGGATTTCTCTGTGTAACAGCCCTGGCTGTCCTAGAACTCACTTTGTAGACCACACTGGTCATGAACTCACAGAAATCTGCCTACTTTTGTCTCCTGAGTGCTGGGATTAAAGGCATGTACCGCCACCGCCTGGCATGATGCAATTTCTAAACAGTACCTGACTGTTGTTTCACAGGTGGACTAACTTCTGATATTTTCCCTCAGAAGACAATTTAAAAATTTTACTCCCAGAAGATCAACCATCAAATGTGTTTGGTTGTTTTTACTCTTTGTTCTTTTGGGGGCCCGCTACCCAGCTCCCAAATAAGTTGCAAGGAGGCTTATTCTTTCTTATACAGTAGTTTGTTTCTATCCAACTTTCCTTAAATTATCCCAACTAC